GCGAACTTTGTGTCTAATGTTTGTGGGGAATAGAGTTGATATGTTACGCGCAGGCGCCTAATAACGCCATAGTCTCCGCGTCGTAGTATTACCCTGGAAATAATTGTCATTGAAGACCTCGCTTGATTCGCGAAAGATGAAATAGTTGCCTGAGGTAAATCGAACTGGAAATCGAGCGTCAAAGACTCTTTTCAATTTGTTATCGTAATTAATAGGGAGTACATAGCCAATAGTGAGGAGTGCGCATGTGCATAGCAAAATCAAGGTGGCGCGTGAAATAGTTGTCACTGCTTCGCGACTCCATTGTGACCGTAAATGACGTTTGAGGTTAGGATCGTCGTTGACTTGTTGACATCAAGCGTTCTGAAAAGGTTAGGATGCTGGAAATGCGACAGTGAGCTTATTTAATAACGAGAGTTTTAAGATAGAGAGTGAAGCGGTTTCTAACGGGGTGGAACTGAGTAATCTACATCGGTGTATATACCAATAACAGTGTTTTAATGTTTGACGCTCCCTTGACAGTCACTAATTAAATGAAGTGAGTGCGGAAGGGAATTAAATAAATAATAAGTAAAGAGTGACTTATCAGCGTTTCTGCATTCTTATTTGCTGAGATTTGAGCAATCTTTCGTGTATTGACAGGTGGTAGTAGCACGATTTGATCGAGGGAATAAAACCTCCACTCTTGTCAATCAAACCACGACACAGCTCGTTTGTTCTAAGTTTAGTAGACGGGATTAGTGATTATTGAGTTCTGTAATCTATCGTGTCTAAAGTTGAAATGATCCGAGTAGCAAGTCGTGGTGAAATCTAGGACAGCTTATCGGAGTGCTTCCAATGACGACTAGATTTTAGAAGAATGCTGGTTGGTGATCAAAACGACGTGTCTGTCATTTATTCATTAATACGACTTCACGAGCGTTCTGTTGGTTAAGTTTTGTATAAAAAAGAAAGAGGAAAAAGGAAAAGAGCCATAGGCCACGCAGTGCGAAAAGCCGATTTGTTGTCGAAAAGACAACCGGGGGTGTCGCTCGAAACACAGGCACTACGAGAGTATCACTCGTATATCAAAGATACTTCCTTGGGCCCGTTACGGACTGCCAGAATGGATTAATAAAAGAGTCTCTTTAAGTAATAGGAATTCTACCAACGGAAGATACTTTAGAAGGCCTCTATGGTAAAAGGGATCCCTGTTAGACAAGGATGACGTGCCGATATGTAGAAAGCGGAGTTGACCTTATCGACGGTAACTTGGGAATGTAGTCACCGTTCCTGACGGGGGCTAAGTTAGACGGCTGCGAAGACGCTCTTGCGAAGTGACGGGGATAAGGTCGAGAAGGAGTGTACTTTGTATAGTTAAAGTGTATATAAATAAATAAAGACCACTGGTACTAGACATATTGTGATTAATTTTGGTTGATTTATTCTTTTTCCTGAACGTGTCATATTTCCTTAGTATTAGTTTCCTGATTGTCTTCCACTGAGGACTTTAGATTCAGGACCTGTAGGAAGAGGTTTTAAGGGAGATAGATCCTTTCTATCGGTCAACTTAAGCTTCCCTGGACAAAGAACGTGACTGGGCAACAACACGGACGCTGAAAGGAGAGTTGACTTAGGTTAGGAGCCTGGATAAAGCCGGTGAGTAGAGGTCACAAGTAAGGTTGAGGTTATCAGTCCACAAAAATTAAAGAAAGAGGACAGGAGTGAAAGTCGTGATATTCTGTTTTATTATGGGCGTAGGTCTAGATTGCTGGTTGGTAAACTTTATAAGATATCGGTTCACAGCTATCAAGAGTGACGTTTATTAACGCCTGGTATATGAAAGAGATCTCCTTATAGAAGGTTAACGGAGCGTTTTACATGTTCTGAGTTCTATCTGATGGATGGATATGATCTGAAATAATCAAGATAGAGGCTGAGAGATTGGTAAGGTAATTAAATGATTTTACTTTGGTCAATGATGGTTGCAAAGACAGGTGGAAGTCGATAGCAGAGTGGATGACGAAGTACAACTAAAGGAAACTGACTTTGATTCATAACGAATACTCTCAACAAGTATAGTGCCGAGATTCGAAGAGAAGCTGGTTTGGAATAAGAAATTGGGTTGGAAAACTTGGAAAGAGACCTAAAGAAGGAAAGGTGGAGATTGGTCTTGAGTACATCAATCCTTTTTGAGAGAGTCACGTGGTATGCCTTTATGATTACAGGGAGGAATGTTATACGCGAATAAAAAGGACCTAAGATAATTGTTGTCGAAGGAGGAGAAAGGGTGGACAAGACTTGATTTGGAAAGCCGGGAAATTATATAGTCACGCAGACAGAAGGCAACCTAAGCCTGGATTGTTGCTACATTTGTGAATAATAATAATCAAAGGTCAGACCCGCTGTTTGAGGACAACAGATAATTGGAAAGGTTGGATCGTTGGTCTATCGGACAATGGATCAGAAAGAATCGTGCTTGTTCCAAATGTAGGAATAACAATAAATGTTTGAATAAAGGTACTGGGTTGTAATTTAACTGTAACCTGCACTCTCTCTTTCTTCCTTTTTATATATTTATATAGATTAAGGGGATAATTCATTGTTAAATGTGGACGGTAGTATCCTAGGAGAAGTTTGATTATCTAGAACTCTCGCAAAACTCTGGACGTTTAGACGTAGGATTTCACATGGTTGATGTTCATTTAGATGTAAAAAGACGTTTAGAAATATTGATTGATTTAATTAACTGATGTTTAATCATTGAGGGATTAAGGGCTGAAGTCTGAAGGAAAAGGAAGAGATTTATTCAGATATAATTACAAATCGTTACAAAAGAACGGTGAGACATTGCTAAGCTGGTTTCTTCTTCTATTAAGCAAGCGAACTGGTGTTACTTCCTCTTGCTGCATCGGTAGACTGGTTGAATAATCATGGCGAATAATCTGAAATTCGTACAGATCAATTTGCGTAGGTCCAGGGCTGCGACGGGGGCTTTGTCAAATCTAATGGCAAAATATAATATGGATGTAGCTCTGATTCAAGAACCGTGGACGGTGAATGATAAAGTCAAGGGTTTAGGTATGACTGGTACTGTTTTGAATAGGTGTCCGAGTGGAAGGCCAAGATCGTGCATAGTACACACTAGTAGAATCAAGCCAGTATTGTTGTCACAATTCAGTGGTAAAGACATTACAGCGGTAATTTTGGAGAGAAATAATAATAATTCTCGCTTGTCGAAAGTAGTAGTGGTTTCTTTATATATGCCATATGATGAAAGGGATCCGATAACAGTATTACTAGACCTGCTGGTTGATTGGTGTGCTCGACAAGGAGCGAGTATGATAATAGGCGCTGATGCGAATGCTTGTCATGTTTCATGGGGGAGCTCGGTTACCAACGATAGAGGTGTGAAATTAATGGATTTTATCAATAATAACGGCCTGATCTGGTTGAACGAGGGATCGACACCGACGTTTTCAATGTCGGTGAGGGAGGAGGTGCTAGACGTGACGATGGTATCGATGGAGATTCGGTCTGCTCTCAGTAGTTGGAGAGTATTGGATGACCCGTCGTTGTCAGACCATACGTTCATCTCGTTCGTTCTGAAAGTCAGAGGCATTCAAGCGAGTAGGATTGTAAGTGAAAAGAAATCGCTGAACGTGGAGCGATTCATGGAAAGTTTAGGAAACAAACTGACCGATTCTCCTAGGGTGTATGGTACCCCAGATGAGATTGATGCGTACATGGAATTCATTACTACGGCAATAGTTGAGGCGGCCAGTGGGCCACTGACCCGAAAGTTGAAGGGTTATCACAGTAAACTTCCTTGGTGGAACCTGAACTTACAACAATTGAATGAGAAAAGTAAGAGATTAAGAAAGAAGGCCCGAAGAACAAAGAGAATGAGTGACAAACGGAAAGCGCGTACAGCTGACCTGAAACTAGACAGAGAGATACGGAAAGCAAAAAAGAAATCGTGGAGAGAGTTTTGCAAAGGATTGAATAAGATGCAAGACATTGCTAGGATAAACAAGATCTTGGAAAGGGTGGAGCAGAACAATTTAGGGTTGTTAAAAAGGGAAAATGGCACCCTGACCAATAATATTAAGGAAACGTTGGAACTTCTTATCTCAGAACATTTCCCAGGAGCGATGAATGATTCGAACGAAGCCCTGACAATGGGCGCTGCGTCAGAGGACGTCCTCTCTTCACGCGGCGCCAGACCTGATTGGAGTTTGGCGTCAAAGATAATATCAGAGGAAAAAATCAGCTGGGCGATTGGTACGTTCCTTCCGTATAAAACACCAGGTCCTGATGGGATTCTACCCAAATACCTGAAGGTTCGGACGATCGTTAATCTCGTCGCACTTGGCCAAGGTGATGAGGGCAAGCCTAGTAATTGGTCACGTGCCGGATATCTGGAGAAGAACGAAAATAACGTTTATACCAAAGCCTGGCAAGACAGACTACGCTACACCTAAAGCGTTCAGACCTATCAGTCTAACGTCGTTCCTCTTGAAGACCATGGAGAAGCAAATCGACAGATATATCAAGGATGAGGTACTGATGGAACATCCGCTGTCCTCTAGACAGTATGCTTTTCGGGTTGGATACTCTGTAGAGGCAGCGCTGCACGAGATTACGAGGTGTTTTGAGGAGACTATTTGGAATAGGAAGTATGCAGTAGCCTGTTTCATGGATATAGAGGGAGCGTTTAATCAAACGTCAAAAGAAGTTATTGTGAAGGAACTTCTGGATCACAATGTCAATGCCACAGTGATAAGATGGATAAACAAGGTATTGTCTGATAGAACTATCACGACGGAGTTCGGAGAAACTAAAGTCGAAGGACTGGCTAATAGAGGATGCCCGCAGGGAGGCATCTTATCGCCCATGCTGTGGTGGCTGTTGATTCATTACTGGAAAGATAGAGATCGAGAGGTTTCCAAGTTTGGGGATATGCGGATGATATCGCTGTCCTTGTATCACACGAGAATGGAAACGTGGCGAAAAGAGAGATGAACTCGGCCCTGAGAATCCTGGAAGATTGGTGCTCGGAGGCGGATCTGTCGGTGAATCCTACAAAAACAAAACTGCTAGTGGTCACGCGTAAGAAGAAGCTAAATGTTCGGGGTATCACTCTTAATGAAGTGCAACTAGAAAAATCGGAGTCGGTCAGCTACCTAGGTGTTACCTTTACGAGTTGGCTGTCCTGGAAGGTACAGATAGAGAAAACGATGGACAGGGCGCGTAGGAATTTCGCGACCATCAGTAGGATGGTAGGCAGTACATGGGGCCTCACTCCGGCTGCGACCCACTGGATCTACAATTCGATCATTCTGCCGAGACTGACGTTTGGATCGCTAATCTGGTGGGAAGGTATTCAAAATTATAGAACTCAAGCTCGGCTCGAGAGTTTACAACATGCAGGCTTAAAAAGAATACTCGGAGCGTTCAGAAGTTCGCCGACCAAAGCGATGGAAGCGATGCTAGCGACTCCGACGCTGTCCTTCAAAATAGAAGAAGTGGCCATTAGGACGGCGAAACTCCTTAAAGACTGGGACAAATTGCAACCAACGAGTAGAGGACACTCATCAGTGTTAGACAAGTTGATACCTGAAACGGAGAAAGACTTAGTATTGACCTTGGAAGCTCCGACTGATAAAACGGTATTAACTTTCCGCTTTGGACACAGGTATCGCACGACTATCCCTGATAGAGAGGAATGGAAAGGTGGAGAGCTAGAAAGATTTAGAGGATGGAACGTCTGGTTTACGGACGGAAGCAAGAATGAAAGAGGTGACACAGGCAGTGCGTGGGTGTCAGGACGGTTGATTAACGGTAAATCGGAATACCTTGGAAAGTTTGCCACTGTCTACCAAGCTGAGATGGTAGCTATCCTTAGATGTGTTGAAGACCTGATCAATAAAAACGTTAGGAACGATAGTATAGTCATTTTTACAGACAGTGAATCAACGGTCAAGACCATGGAAGGGTCGAGCTTTAAATCGGCGGTTGCGGTGGAATGTTCCGATCGTTTAAATGAATTGGCCCTGAGAAATAAGAAGGTAATATTATGCTGGTGTCCGGGTCATCGGGGTGTCTTGGGCAACGAGGAAGCAGACAGGCTGGCGAAAGCGGTAGTTGAAGAAGGAAGACCAGGGGTGGAGCCTTGGCTACCCGTTTCGTATGCGAGTTTCAAATCAGAATTGAAAAGATTTTCGCTCTCCCGATTAAAGGAACGATGGTCAGGAACGACAACATGTAGACAAGGAAGGGAAATGATAGGTGATATAGATGTGGGAAGAGCCAAGACGATATTGAAGATGAACAGAGCAGATGCAAGGATACTGACATACGTCTTAACGGGACATGCTCCACTGAACTATCATCTGTTCAGAATGGGAGTACGGGAGAGTGGAAGCTGTCCTTGTGGTACCGGTGAAATGCAGACGGTGAAACACTTACTGATTGAATGCGATAAATGTGCAAGCAAAAGGCGTGAAGTGTTTGAACGAACAGATCTTAATGCTCAGGAAGTCAGCCTGTTGCCCTATGAGAAGTTAGTTAGATTTTTCAAGGAAATAGACCAATGGGACAAAACAGCTGGTGTGTCGTCTTAGATGAATTGTTGCATGGTGAAATGCCTTCATTAGTGCAGATAGCGTTCTCTACTGGGAAGAAAGACAAGATAGCCATCCATGGGGGAAGGAAGGAAGAAATGGATGGCAGTGAACTGTCAATTGGACGAAGAATGGGGTGGCGGATGAGGCTGCCTTACCTCAACAGTAACAGTGATAAGAGTCACAGATAAAAGAGTGAGGAAAGATGGAAGATGGTTAATCAACCAGGCAATAAGTATGACAAGAAAGTTTATCTTGATGAGCCGAAGGTAAACTATACAATAAAGATGTATTCTTAAAAAGGATGATTAAGGAATCTCAATAGTCTGGTAGTCATGAATCAAAACGGACATTGTGGGAAGAAATATAAATGAGAAGCGGGAAGGAACAAACTAATAAACGAACATTCGGATAGGTAAGCTTACCTTAGTGAAAAACCACAGATTTTAATTGTATGACAGTATATGTTCCCTGATCAATAAGAACCGGTAGTCTTTGTAAAGGCGGTAAATCAACTGTGAATTGTTATCCTGCCTATAGGACACGGTTGAGTTGCAACAAATTCTTTTCGAACAAAGGTTAGCTGTCTCCTTTCATGAAATATAAATAGACATCTTTATCCGAAAAGAAATATTCAAAGTCAGAATGATCTCACTGAATACATTACGAGGTCCTTCTTTTATAGAAATAATAATTAAGCGAATCGCTCTGCCCATAAGCTAATGCCCCGACTCTCTGATCACGATTGCGTGATGTTGTAGGTTATGCCGTGCCGAAAGATTATGACAGGTGAGACCTGGAAGAGTGTGAAGTGCTGAGAAGTTAGTCAGCGCCCCCATCCCGGGACGCGCGAGTTTTAAATAAAAAAGAGGAATCTTTATCATTAGAGACAGTTGGCCGACTGGGAAGTAGAATGTCTAAGTATATTAGATAGTCACTAGTACTTGTTATCAAAAGGACTGTCTGAATATGGAATTTGTAGGGGAACGTTGATCGTTAACATCTTGATATAACAGGTCACAAGGCTTGAGAGTTACAACTATTCAAGTAGGAAAGGACTAAGCAGCGGTAACCTCTAATTTAATTGAATAAGATTGATATGGACGAGTCTGACTCACTCTGAATCGAGAGGTAGCGCGAAGGATTTTAATTTTATTTATTTATCTCACGGAACGAACAAAATCCGACTATATGCCGTTCCCTTTTTGTAAAAACCTGAAAGCAGCACGAGGAAACGAGGAGTGGGAAGATAGTTATATTCTGCTCGAAGAAGGAGAAATAACTTGTAGGAAAAGAGAGAAGACTTAGGACCAAGGCCAAACACTGAAGGAAGGTTTAAAGAGGAAAGAGGAGGTTGAATGGAAAAAGGTATTATTGCGTTAACAGGTAATGACTTTAAAGGAAGGAAAATCCTCATTGCCACTATGATCTACTCTGATTGAATATAAGGCCAATCTTCCTGACTAGAAACACAGGAAGACACAGAGGGCCTTTTAGTATGGTTGACAAAGGAAGAGAGAGAGGACGGTACTTGGTCACCTGCTGGGAAGACAGAGGATAGACGCATAGATACGCTATTCGAGCTGTATAGGTGTGTATACGCTCCGCCTATGACTATGGTAGGGAAGAGGAACAAGATGGTCACCCGAGATACTTTTCAAACTCAATCCGGTCGGCGCTTTAAAATATGAAAATTGATGGAAAGGCAAGTGAATTATTAGAAAGAAATGGTAGAGGGTCCACAACTTCAGCTTGGAAAGAAATATGTTAATGTATGCTGCCTAGCGGTTATTCCTAGGTAGACAGTATGTAAATACACGGTTTTTGTTGAACAAAGAAAAAAAACAAAAAGTTCGGGCAGAGGAATGAACCGTAGTGGGACAAGGGGCATCGTCGTAGACGGAAGACGGAGAATAAGAATTAATACTGTTAAGTGGGTCACTGTTGGCCGAGACTATCGAGGAATTACCGGAGAATCTTCAGGCAGATTAAAAATTGCCACTGATAATCAATGTAGGACCCAGAGTTATATTTTGTGCGACACTGCTCAACTTTAACAAAACATAAGAGGGTTTGCCAATAAATCTCTTCACCGTGGAGGATTCAGGCTTAAAGCAAGGGATATTGGATGGAAAAGGACGGAAATAATAGAGAGAAAACTAGCTCGATGTGATACGATCGAGTGAGCCGATTGGTGCGCGTACAAAGGATAGGAGGGGTCTGCACGACGTTGGCGTAATACCAATTGAAATTATCGATCTTTAGAACGCCGGGATGGTGCCACGTGTGATAAACCAGACATAAATCATGTTCTTCGGTAAACTCCGGCGTGTACTTGAGTGGAGAATTATGAAGAACTTTTGGATAACGCACAATAAAGTGAGAAACGGAGGAAAACGACGCGAACGAGGAGAATCAAGGAACGGATCATTTGCAAGTACGAAGGAGCCGATCTACAATGACAATGATTCGGGCTATACTACGGCTAATGTAGGTTCACTGAGCACGTTATCCGTCGGATCGTTATCATCGTTAAACTCGTCGATATGGTCAAGATCGTCAAATGAGTCCCTGGATTGGGAACAGAGCTATTGAAGAATTATACGCTTCACTTGGGAAGACCTGGATCTGGACGTTTGGCCACAGGAGGAACCGGGAAGGATAGGAATTGTTCCAATAGCTTATAGTAACCAGTCATTCGAACAAATTCCCGACCGTGCGACTGATCCCCGGGAAACCTAAGGGGCAGCGAATTTCGACAAGCTGATGGGAACTGCGACAAGGAAAGGTATTCAAATCTGGACAGTTCTGGATGCGTGCAAATTAAGAGGACAACATGCCAGCATCCAGGTGAGACAAAAGTTCTTTAGTATAGAAGTCAGATGATACGGAGCCGTGTAGTCTTAATTACTCTAGCCAATGATTTGTACTGGAAATAGTATCTTCCCAGAAACTTGAGAATTCTCAACACGCGGAATGATCGAAAAACTGCTACCCACAAAGGAGATAGAAAAAGAACAGGTATAGAGCACGAGAAGTCTTGGCTTATCTGTTAAACGTGACAGAGGAAATTGAAGCTATCCTGACGCTATAGGTAAAGATCTACTGATTCCTGTGAGTGGTTTGACGAATAATAATATATTTTAGAATTATTTGTTTGGCTTCAGAAGAGCCGAATGGTAATCGAATGATAAGGATAAGAACTTCACCGATATGCCAGCCACGGACTTGTAATCTTCGACGATGACAGTGGGTCTCACAATGCCGACGACTACTAACCTTAAATAGCAGTGAACGACAATAAAAAGAAAGAAAGAAGTAACTGGAGATAACTATTTGATCAAGAGACTGGATCATATTGGAAAAAGCAGTAATTGGTAACACATTTATCATTCTGAGTAGACAACACCAAAGACGATGGCTTGGGTTGAAGTCTGGGAAAGAAATAATTTGGACCTCGGATAATGATTCGTCGAGAATTGCTGGCTGACACGACGATATTGGAGCGAAGGATCAGTATCAAACAAAAGAAGCGCTGGACGAGATGACGAGACGGAGTACTATCGACGGCAGAGACGAATTTTTGACAGCTCCGCTATAAAGGTAAGTGATTGGAAGCTAATTATGCATAACGGTTATCTTTACACGAAACTGAGTGGAAGTTCCGTACATTCGTATAAGAAAAAACTTTACGCTGGCCTGACGGTTTAAGAAGTAATACAAGATAAATTACCGTCTACACGTGATTGGAAATTAACACGATCAAGTGGCACAACCTCTATTAAAGACGTTATTATTACTGATTGAATCTGTTTGGAATATTCGATCAGAAAATGGAAGATGATCAGGCAGGGAAGGATAGGACGGATTGTAAGAGGTAGAGAGAAAGACGTTACACCGGCTAGCTGTTCATTCTGACCCGGAGATCGGTTAAATCAAGAAGGCCTTCTTTTTCGCGATTTTTGTTAGGATGATAAAACTAACGAGACATAGAATGACTAAAGGAAAAAGGAAACTATTCAATTGAAGGTTGATAAAGAACGACAAATCGAACTGATAACATAAGAGCTTCTGAGTTCACCAGTAGACACGGATTGAATAGATCGATCCCGACGGGATGGTCGAAAGTGTAATAGGGAACTATAATAATAAAAGGATCAATGAATTTCGCGATACGGGTGCATTTGACGATCAGTCGAATGGATGTTAGATTTGAGAGGTTACTGGCCTAGTCGTAATCTGGTCGCCTACTGATGGGTGACGAATATTTGATCGGTAATACAAACGATAAACGGGAAAAAATTGAACTAATGTCAGGCCCTTAGACAATGAAAGTGCTGGATCCTCTTTCTACTGTTAACAATAGCAAATGTTCGAAAGGATGTTTTTTTTTTTTTTAAAGATACTAAGAGTTAAGAAACGAATTTATTTGTCTGACCCGGTATATTGGCAGGGCTTAGTCAGTACAAAGGATTGAAGGGTGAGGCGTCAAGGGACATTGGCGTAGCGATTGATGATAGGTAGGCGTAGGGGGAAAAGAAATGTTTACCTAACTTACTTTATTAGCTTGACACTTAGACATACGAATGTAATCAAGCACGAATGTAGGAAACCGGGTGCGGCAAATCATAAACGAAAGCATAGCTATTTAATAGGAAACGGAGACGATTCGTAATTTGGTCTGAGCGACCTTCCTTTTAATTTATACACGGGAAGATCGGAAATTATAAGCGTGGAAACTTTGATGTTATGATAGTTACCCAATTGAATACACTGGATTTAAGACCGTTGGATCATAAAGCGGAAGAATGAAAGGAGTCTTGAATTCTGGAATAAAAGAGTGTTCTATGCGACCTAATAATGAATAATCCTTTGAGAACCGTGGACAAGTGTCAACCAAGTCAAATGTGATACTTGGGAATTTAATAAACGTAGGACAGGGTCGTTTTCGTTAGCAACATTTGTAGGAAGAACAATTTAATTTTCTGCAGCCTCTTATC